GGCGGTCGTCGTCGAGGTGCAGCGCCAGAATCGCCACAATCTCATTGGCCGTCGGCCGCTGCAACGGGTCAAACGACAAGCATGCGGTCGCGAGGTCGGCAAGCCACTGCGGACAGTTGTCGGTCATGGCCGGACGCAGCGTACCGAGGCGGACCCGATTCAAAATCTCAAATGGCTTGAGAGGCGAGTCCGCGAATGGCTTGTGGCCCGTGTCGAGCTCGGTCAAGATGACGCCAAACGAGTAAATGTCGGCCGAGGCGTCGTACACACGGACTTCCTCATTCTCTTCTCGGAGCACTTCGGGTGCCATCCAAACGTCCGTGCCTGCGCCCGCCGTCATTTCTTTTTCGATAGCCCGCGCGATGCCAAAGTCACCGAGGACAACTCCGTGCTTGGCGCAGAGAAAGACGTTCGAGCTCTTGAGGTCGCGGTGGATGATGTTCTTGGCATGCAAATACGCAAGTCCGTTGGCGATAACCCATGCGACATGGACGATCGACAATTCGAAAGTATCGAGCGCGATACCATCATTCGGCAAGGGTGTACGCAAGCGCTTGAGGTAGTGAAAGAGGTCCCCTTGTCTCATCCACTCGGTCACTAGTTGTACGCCGTCCGTCGGGTTGTCGACGATGGCCAGCGCCGGCAGCAAGTACGGCGACCGACACCTAACGGGAGAGTTCGATGGGACGCCACGTGCGTTGAGAAGGAGTGCGTACGACTGCATTAGCTGGATTTCGCTCCGGAACGATTTTATGGCCCACCTTCCGGCTTGGAGAGGCCGCTTGCGGATGACAATGTCGTCGTTGCTTTTGTTCTTCCATGCAACCTTCTCGATGGCACCGAACCCGCCGTTTGGCAAGCGCTCCAGTGGCGAGAAGGCGGCCGATGTGACCTACTCGCACGTTTATCTATTGTGCAAGGTTCCCAAGCGTTGTACGGTTGGGATGATCGTGTAGATGCTGTCGTAAAGCAGCTGAGCCAGCTCTTGGTGCCCACGCCGCACGGCCATGACCAAAATGGTGTGGCCAGACTATGGATTGCATTGAAATAAGCCCATCAACAAACAAGGAAAACTACCGGCAGAACAAACGATGGGTTCGCGCTGGCGCTCAACAGCACCTTGGCAGCGTCGATGTGCCCTTCGCGGACCGCGTTGGCCAGCGCTGTGAAGCCCTTAACCAAGATGATATATGAGCAGAACCCTGCGTAGAAACAAACATACCTCGTTGATCGTGTCGACGTCCGCGCGTGATGCTGTCAGAAGCATGCTTAGCATTAGGACAGAGCCAATCTTGGCCGCTAGATGCAACGGCGACGGCCCCTCCGTCTACATAATCAGTTTATGGTGTGGCAGCCAGCAACCGAGTGCATGTATGCTATGTACCGTGACGAGATCGAGGTTCACGTCGGCCATGCGGAGAAGGTTCATCACAAACAGCGTCTTGACGCTGGTCACCGCCAACACGAGCGCGACTTGGGCCAGCTACAGCACAATCGTATCTAGAGAAGGATGTCGGTGGGTGGAATACCTGGTTCCGGGCCGTCTTGGACAGTTCTAGAGTACGTAAAAACGTTTGGAACAGCACCGAATCGTCTGCTTCCACGATCGCACGCACGAGTATGTGACGCAGCTCTGCGTCATTCGCGTTCACAATGGCACCCTATATAAAAGTGTCAACTATCCATTCATAGCTACTAAAATATATACCGGAAAGTCGAGAGACGTGACGGGGACGCCTTCGAGGAGCAGTCGCTTGACCATCGGCCACTCTTGGGTTTTCATGGCTTTGGATAGTGCTGCTTTCTATCCAAATAGAGAAAGTTTGTGCGACTAGTCGATCAACGTACCTTGGATTGCATCGCGAGGCGAGTACGATCGAGGTTCGTTTGCAAGGACGTCACACTATTTTCGATGAGCTGCTTTGCAGCGTTGGAGGCGATTTCGGCTGTTGTTTTGCGCATCTAGACGAGTAAATTTTACGAGACATCCCAAAAAAGAATAAACGCAAGCACAAACCGCGTTTCGCTGGTCGAGATACCCTTGAGCCGCGACCAGCTCCTTGCGATGCGTCGTCAATGCCTTGTACGACGCATCGTCCAAGATCAACGTCGACACGAGGTAGCTGAGAAGGACGTTGACGACGCTTTCGTGGTTGTTGGTGGCCGCCGCCATGAGCATGGTCGTCTTGTCGACCTAGATTCTTACATATTTAGGATTTGGACTATTGTGCATCACAGAAACTACCTTGTTGACTGCATCGACGTGACCCTTCTTGGCCTTTTCGGCTGCCACGTGCAGTGCCGTATTGCCACTCTGTATCGCACAATATATATGGCTGCGTAATGTGTTGGTCAGCGTACCTGGTCGCAAAGACCAAGCAGAGACTTGTCGTTCTCCAGCAGCGTTTGAACGATCGCAGTGTGGCCGTTCGCAGCCGCAAAGTGAAGCGCCGTCTCGCCATTCTATGGTACAACAATGGTGAACATTTGTTGAAAAATACGCAGAGTGTACCTCGTTGGTTGCCGCAGGGCTCGCGCCGTGCTGTAGTAGCTCTGCCACCATCTCGTTGTTGTTGGTCGATGCTGCGTGGCGCAAGACTGCTTCCACAGTGTGCATGTGAGCTCCCAGTATGCTCTATGGTTTCGTTGGAAATCGCAGAAGAGAGTTAAAAGTGCACCTTGTCCACAGCGTCAAGCTGCGCGTTCGATTGGAGGAGCGCGTAGGTTGCCTCGATGTTGCGTGTAGCAAGTGCGATGGCAAGCGCTGTCCTCCCACTCTAATTCGTTTCGTCAAAAGGATCGAATCGGTATATTTCGTGTACCGAGTCGGTGGCGTCGATCTCGAGGTTGGATTTTTCAAGCATGGTTGCAAGCAGTTTGAGATCCTGCATCGCTAGTACGAGATGCAGCAACGTCGTTCCATCCTACAAATTTACGTTTAGAAAAGCGTAGCCCTTTGAGGCATATGTACTGGCTCCTGATGGTTGACGATAATCTTCTCTTGCCGAAGGAGACTGTTGGCGTCCAGAATGCGCTTTTCGCGCAGAGCCTTGGCAAGCTACAAGTATAGTTTTGTATTCCGATAGTCCAACCAATGCGCATCAACATATTTACCATGGCGGTTCGCAAAGGCTCTTGGACTTGGACAAAACCTTTTTCTTGAGCGTCCACGAGGGGCGTTTGATTCCACTACAAGTCCAAATTTGATGGAAATGAGTGAGGATTTCGTGCAAACGTACGAAGTTTGTCGCATCGACGTTGGCGCCGTAAGCCAAGAGAAGACGAACGACCTCCACTTTATTGTTTAACGAGGCATCGTGCAGTGGCGTGTCGAGGTACTATGCAAACGCAATATGTGAAATTTGCGAATGAAGAAAAGACGTTTCGGACAACACACAACGTACGTCGTTTTTGGCTTCGATCTTGGCGCCTTTTTCAAGCAAAAAGCGGACAATCTCCAAACGACCACATAAAGCTGCTCTGTGCAGTGGCGTAGAACCATTCTACTCCCATAGACATATCCATCTTCATGGTGGATCGATGGAGAAAGAGTACGATGTTGTAGCACTCGATGTTGACGCCGTCGTTGAGAGAGGAGATGACGGTAGCCAAGTTGCCATCTCGTGCAGCGTTGAGAAGCGCTTCCTACACCATCGCATGAGCATCGTCGCATTGGCGTCGTCGTCCGAGTACCTCCTTCGCCTTCGTCTCCCTCGCCTTCGCTTCCGCCTTCGCCTTCGTCTCCCTCGCCTTCGCTTCCGCCTTCGCCTTCGTCTCCCTCGCCTTCGTCTGCTCCGGCGTCTCCGACTGCCACAACCCAAACATGTTGCAAAATGATCGGCATTTGCATTCTCCCCCTTTTCATTGGCTGATTTTCCTCCAATCCACGCACGATATTATCCGGATCCGCCCATACTTGAAGCGTGGACCAAGCCTCCGCAAGGTTGTCTGCCCTTTTCTATCAAATCACTTTTACCAGCACGAAGTCGCAGCCACTGGAGATACATCTTTCCTTCCGGTGCACGTGCGAAAGGAGTAGATGTCCTTGCTAGTACTCTCCTCCAGTGCTGGCTGTCGCTTTGGACATTGCGCTCTGCTTCGCTTGGATTGCTCTGCTCAGCTTGGCGCCCGGAGACACTCCCTTTGATCGTTCAACTTTGTGATGGGACGACTTCAACAATCCCGTGCAAAAGTGTGCGGGATTGTTGCCGTGAGACCAGGATGCGCTGTTCCTGTGCCCAGGTGATCCCCGCCATCAACGGTCGTTGGCAATGTCATCATATTGAATCGACCGCCGCCTGCGAGTCCCGTACACAAACATCCCAGGCAAAGTGCATTGGATTCCTGTGGTCATTCTTGCGTCGATCGGATGTATCACCCAATGGCTGGTCGTAAATATCACTTCACATGGATACGAGCTTGATAGAATCCTTCAAGTATCAAGTGCGCAGCCGTTCTGATTGGCCAGATGATGCGTGGGTCGTGCCGCCTTTCGTGCTGGCCAGAGACACTCGACGGCATCGCGCGCTTCGTGTAGGGCCAGCACACGCTCGACGCTTTCCTTAGTGTGATGCCCACGCCGATGCTGTCGCCAGCGCTCGTCGCCATGCAGGACCTCGTCACGAAGCTCGATTTGATCTTCGCTTAGAATGCCCTCGATATTGCTGCAGCGCGCGCCAGCGTTGGCGTCGGCAGAGACACGTTTGCTTGCGATCTACAGCTGAAGGTCTCGGCGGTTGCAGTCACAGGCGCCGATTTCATCTACCTCGGCCCGGCCCGCTCATGGTCATGACCACTGTGATGACAGTCGACAAAATACATGTAAAATTGCGCGGACTTTGGTGGAAAATACGGTCGACAAAGCACTGCCCAGATGACTCGTCATCATACATGAGCGAGCTTGGTATACGACGTTGGGTAACGTTGCCCGCGCCTCCGCCAGCTGCAAGTCCTTCTCGCGACCAAGCAACAACACTGTCAAAATTGTGTCGACGTTGTCACTGCGCCACGACATACCACGTCAACACCAGCACCGTGAAAAATGCACAAATATCAGAGTTTCAAGTCGTTCATATCGATATATACCGAGCTTAAGCCGATGTCTGAACCAGCGCATATCAGCGACATGTCCATGAAAACAAAAGGAAAATGTACCGTGGTGTGCGGCTCCTCCGAGATCACGGCGAGGCCGGTCGAGATCGTCGCCGCCTTGTCCCACGCTAAAGCCTGGTCGAGACGATGCACGAGGATCGCGAGCGCCGCGTCTGCGCTTGCGACAGGCGCGTCACAAAAGCTGCAGTTGGCCGTCGTGTCGTGAAGGCGATGGCACGTGACGCACGCCATGCTCGTGTCGACGTCGAGGGCCACGCAGCGCGCCAGCACAAACTGCAGTCGATCCAAAATGTCGGGCGTCGCCTGATGACATTCAATGCAAGCTACCGAGTACAGCACCGGCGTTACGCTATTGCAAGAAGCGCACACCATATCGCTGGCCTAGTCGTTGTTGTTATATAAGTCGAGTGACAAAAGTATAGGGTAAGGATACCTGCACTTGGCGAGACGAGACGAGGTGCAGTTCGAGGCCATTTGGGACGGTGATGTTGTGCACCTCGTAGCCCAGACGCTCGACGATCGCGATTGCAGTCGGTCGGCTCGTCGGTGTTTCTTGCTTGCACGCGGTGGCCATTGGCGCCAGCCACGGCGCGTCATGCTCATTTGAGGCCAAAACGCAAAGCTCGTCGAGGACGACACCAACCGAGTAAACGTCGGCGGCGTAGTCGTAGTTGCTGCCGCTAACACCGACTTCGGGAGCGCGCCACTTGGGCGTTCCCGCATTCGTCGTCAAGCTGTCGTTCCACGCGCACATTTTGCCAAGATCGCCGAGCTTGATGCCATGCACAGCGCAGAGAAAGATGTTGTGGCTCTTGACGTCGCGGTGCATACGACCACCTTGGTGAAGGTCCCAGAGGGCATTTGCCAGCACCCATGCCACGTCCAGTGGGGTAATCACCATGCTGACGGGTGCGTTGGCCTGCGTGTCCTCAAGGTACTTGTAGAGATCGCCGTTGGTCATGAGCTCGAGGATCATCTGCGGGTTATTGGACGAAGCATCAACCGCTGCGAGAAGCGGCAACACGTACGGGGACCCAAACCTACGTAAAGTGGTCAACGCGTGTATACAGCAGTGTCGTGAGGGTACATACTGCCGCATCTCTTCAATCTCGAGGCGAAGCGCGTTGCTCTGGCTCCGATATCCGTTCTTGGTGGCCTTGATGGCGACGCTGCAGCCGCGGTACGACGCCTTGACGACGGCGCCACCGCCCCCTTCGCCCAAAAACTGATGCCCCGCACGATCAATGTCGGTATTGGTGGCCTGTACAACATGAGATTTCCAGACAAAAGCAGCTGAGCTACCTCGTGGGGTGCGTCGTAGAGGCTCTTGTATAAAAGCCGAGCAATGCGACGACGACCACGTTGGTTGGCCAACGCCAAGAGCGAGCTGCCGTCCTAATGTTTTAGGTTATCATTGGTTCTACCACCAACTTGACAGAAGTGACGACGTACAGGTGCCGAAATGCTGGCGCTGGCGTCGGCGCCCAAGAGGCGCTCGACAGCAAATGTCGCACCAGTGACGACAGCACGCGCCAAGATCGAGTTGCCAGCCTACACGCCGTCAACGTGAGGTTAGGGTTGTCGCCATTTGTTTATGTTTACCTTGTCCTTTGCGTTAAGATCTAAGCTCGGCGATGTGAGAAGGGCAGCGAGGACGCTGGTGTCGACGTTGGCGACCGCAGCATCCAGCAACAGCGAGCCATTCTACGATTTTGTGAGATGAGGTTAGGGCATAATGTCCGAACGACCGGCAGAGGAATCGCAACATCGGCACCGACGCTGACGAGCGCTCGAATAACGTCGCAGTGACCGCGTTCTGCAGCCAGTGCCAGCGGTGTGTACCCGTCCTAATCAAATATACAACCTCGTCTTTTCACTCTATCATCAAGAGCTATAGAACCTCGTTCGCGGTGTTGACGTCGACACTCGGACTCACAAGGAGGAGTGAGAGAATGCCGATACAACCTCGCGCGGCTGCTTCATGCAACGGCGACGTGTTTGTCTAGATTGGCCGCATCGAAGTTCTTACATGTCGAGTGGCGAAGCGCGTACCTGGGAGACGACACAAGCCATGGCAGCGGTCTTGGGGTCGTGCAAGACAGCCACGAGAAGGCGCGGCTTGTCGGTGGTGACGGCGGCCAAAAGCGCCTTGCGGCATATCTAGAGACGTCATCTTTGAAGACATTCTCATTGGCATCGTGGATACGTCGCTTGCACGGGGGTCGCCGTTGGCATGCAGGCTCGAGAGCAACCCTCGCAGCAAGTCGGCGTCAAAAGCTTGGAGGACATGGTCGACAAGCGCAGACTATACCAAAAGGAAATGCGATCGAATCGCAAAAAGAATAAGCAATAAACAATACCAAGGAGTCGTCGTGCGTAGGGACAGGTGCGCCGGTAAAGAGCAGCGACGTGGCCAAAGCCCAGTCTGTGGCATCGATGGCGTCGAGAAGCGCCGCTTCCTAGTGCACCCGTTCAAATCCCTTAGACCCCGCAAACATCGTGCAATGCAAAGTTACCGTAGCGCTCTGGGTTGGTGCGGGCGCCGCGATCGTTGGCGACAAAGTCGTTTGGTTCTTGAGGACCATATACCATTGGCGAGCGGCGGCCAGGAGAAACAGCAAGATGGTCGTGGCCAGGACCGCGGACGTGTGGAGGTCCTATCTCAGCGAGTAGGTTTTGTCTGGTCCAACAGCGTATAGAGCGTACAGCCGAGCGAGGCTCGGGGCGGCTTGTATCACCCGCCAATGCCGCCAAGTACGCCACAGTCTACGCGCCATCGACACAAGAAGAGCCGATGGAAGAAACCTACCGCAGGGTCGTCGCTCAGGGATGCGAGATGGGGGCGACTGGCCGAGACGAGTGGTTGAAGCATCTGGACGACGTCCTCGTGCTTGTGCATCATAGCGTCGAACAGCGCTGCTGCAAGCATCGGCGCCAGCGCCGCTGGTGTGTGTTTGGAGAGAAACGCCTTTAGCAACGTCTCCACATGGCCCGCGTTGCCAAGGCGAGCGGCCAATTGCAGAGACTACGCACTCGTGCGTATCATTCGGAAAAATGACGAGCCGCACCGTGTCCCCCGTCAGCGCCGTCGGCTCGAGCAGTACCGCCACGATCTCGACATGGCCGCGCTCGACCGCCAAGTGCAGTGCCGTCTTGCCATCCTACACGACGGCGTTGACCTGCAGTTCACTTCAGAGACGAAAGTACCTCGTTGTGGGCATCGATTTGGATCGTTGGGTGCTTGCGCAGGAGGCTTTGGAGAACGTCGAGTTGGCCATCGCGCGCCGCGGCGCGCACTTGACCTTCGAGTCCCTGAACAGGCCTAACCGTCTCGAGACGCGTAGGAGCGTCGCTCTATGAACATTACATATGAGCTGCAGGGCCTTGATGGACATTGCATTGGGTACCGGATCGTACGCGTCGTCTTGGGCTTGCGCGAGAGAAGCGCGTGCTTCTACTTGCCGTGTCTCCGGCGCCAGCGACAAAGGTGCAGTAGCGGTGCTCCAGTCGCCAAGACCCGTGTCTGCAAGCGGCAGCGGGTCGTTCTTCTAGGGGCAGAGCGTTCAAGTATGTTGGCCGCAAGAGGATGCAACATACTGGCGAGTACCGGTCGGCGCCAACGCCGAGTTGGTCGTCCGCTGGATCAAGCATATGTCGCGTCGACGCGACGCCAAGCAGACACACGACAGCTAGCATGCATGCGATCTGTGGGCGAGTCGGTCCTATCCCGACAGTTCACCGTGGGACCCTTTGCAACCCTTGGCTTTGTCCTACCGCCTTCCTATTCGAAACCAGGTATGAGCTTCGGTACATATGCACATCTATCTATCTATCTATCTACCTATCTGGAATCCCATCGTAGCCAACGTACCGGAATAGCGTCGGGGTGTTGGCGCAACAGCTCTTGGACTTGAACGTGACCTTTTTCGCAAGCGGCCATGAGTGGCGAGTGGTTATTCTACACGTTAAACGAAGGAATCGAGCGACTTGTTGTGAAAATGTACTTTGTTTCTAGCGTTGAGATGGGCACCGCGTGCCAACAGAAGCCCAACCACCTCCACTTGATTGCGTCTGGCGGCCAAGTGCAGTGGCGTCTCGAGGCTCTACGCAACCCACATGTCATCTCGACATCGAAGCGAGCACCATGCTCGCAACGCCAAACGAACCTTGTCTCTGGCGTCGATCTTGGCGCCTTTCTCGAGCAAAAAACGAGCCACGTCCACTTGACCATAGCACGCAGCCGAGTGCAGTGGCGTCCAGCCTTGCTACGCCATGATCGATCGAAGCGCGTGAGAGGCCACGCTTGAAGGCACAAGATACCTTGGTTTTGGCTTTGAGACGGGCGCCATTTTCAAGCAAAGCGCTGACGACGTTCAAATGACCATTTACTGCAGCTTTGTGCAGTGGCGTCGCACCATCCTACGCCCATAGACATATCCATATTCGTGTTTGATTGATGGAGAAAAAGCCACATAGTACGTCATCTCTGCACTCGATGTTGGCGCCGTCGTTGAGATAGGAGCGGACGGCCGCCACGGTGCCATCTCCTGCAGTGTACAGAAGCGCCTTCTACATTGTCGCATCAGCCTCGCTGTCGGTCGCTCGGTCGTTGTCGCCAACCTCCTGCGCCTGCTGCTTCGTCGACCACATATCTTGCCAAATGATAGGCATTTTCATTGGCTGCTTTTCTTCCAATCCACGCACTGTATACTTCGGACCCAACGCCGTGTTGGCTACATTTAGACCAATGGGTATGCGGGATTTCACCGTCTCCAACTCCAGTCCAAACGAAACGCTTGAACGATTCCAGTCTCACGAAGCTACTTACTTGTTTGGCCTCGGCCTGCGCCTCTCGTACTTGCGCCACGTTATCAACGAGCATGGCGGAGAAGCTGCGTTTGCCGGCAAGACGACAGCCCAAGTTTGCTTTGAGTTTGTCGTGCCATTGACCAAACCAACCGCTCGACCAGGTTGCCAACGACCCAACGACCGCCGCCTACGTCGCGCCGGCCAACTGGTATGTCAGCCACGCTTGGCAGTACCTCTTCTTGGAGACCGTCGACAGCCTCGAGCGCTTCTTCGCCGACCGGTCTTGCCGACGACGCCGTCCTTTGGTTTTGCGTCTTCAACAACAACCAGCACCTCGCGAGCTCGTACCCGTTCGAGTACTGGTCGTCAACGTTCAAGAACGGTCTCGCAGCCATCGGCAACGTGGTCATGATCATGCACCCGTGGAACGACCCGATCGTGCTTCGTCGAAGCTGGTGCGTCTTTGCGTTCTACGTCGCGGTGACACTGGGCGCGCGCTTTGAGATTGCACTGGCGCGAGATCAAGAAGCCACGTTTCTCAACGACATTGCAGACTTTGACGCGTTCAATAAGATGCTGGCGACGATCAAGAGCGAGGACTCGGAGGCGACCGTGGCTTCGGATCGCGATGGTATTTTGCTTTGATTCGCGCCAAGACATCCATTGTGGCAGTGGACCGGCTCATTTTGTTAACGTTGACGCGCTGGATCGAGCCAACGCTCGAGGTATCGATCGCAGCCGCCTTTTCGTCGGATGCCACAGTCTTGCGGTGCAGCTCGGTCTTCTCTTCGACGCGTTGCATCAACACAAGGAGCGCGAGCGCTGCTTCCAAGACGCACTGCGTTTGCGCCTCAAGACGCACGGACCGATGGACGCTGACACTCTCTTGTTGCTGTCGCTGGTCGCATTTGCGATGGTCCAAGCCAACAAGCCTCGGCGTAGTTGGGAAACCCTCTTTCAATCGACACTGGGCGCGTCATTGACGCACCTCGGCGAGACGCACCCCACGACGCTCGCAACACGCGCCAAAGACGAAAGACGGAGTTTTGACTCGTTATTTTGGCCCTACGTGGCGCACAAATACGCATTTGGTTGATGATTAGGTGCCCTCGCCTTTGGGAAAAGGTGCTACGGCTTGCATCATCGTCGCACGCCTCATTCCCACAGTGTTGAAACAACTCGAATGAAGCACCGATGCACAACTCCTTTGACGTAAGAGGTTCCTACTTTTCTCTTTCTCATCAAATGCAGTACTGGTACATGGGACGAGATTGAGGACCCTAGCCTCATTCAACGCTTTATGTTGGTCTTGCTGTCGTATATATTCAAAGAAAACAAAATGTGTACTGGGCGGAAATAGGACTCCAGCGACAAATTCCACTATTGTCAAGGCATCCAGCAAAGGAGCGCGGGGTTTACGCCTTGGACGCTTGCTCGATGCGCAGTACGAGGATGCGCAATTTCTCTTGGTCGTCCGGAAGCTCGTCGTCGCACTCGTCACAGATCGTGGTCGTCATGTTGTGGTGGGTGTCGCAGCAGACGCAGACGAGACCGGTGTCGATCTCAAATCCGTTCTTCTTGGCGACCGCAAGACGCTTGAGAAGGACCTTGAGCTTGGAAGCCACGGGAGCTAACGACCCGGCGCAGGCCTCACAGTGCGACTCGAGCAACGAGTTGGAGGCGCGGCAGAGCTGACATACGACGCGCGTACTCACCAGCATCGAGTTGGACCATGACGAGTACGTCTACAAGCATGATGACAGCCAGGGTAAGAGTGAATTGTGGTGTTGAAGTCACCGTCGTGCCGGTCGACGTTCCAGATACACTGGAGGACGTCGTTGCCGCCGAGCCGCTGCCGAGGGTCGAGCGGGTGCGACTTGGTACCTTCTCTTCGAGACGTTGGGGCGCCGATGTCTATCGAGAGATAAAATGGCCTGCCGGAGTTGCCAAGAGCTGCTTACTGTGCCACTCGACAGGTCGATGGAAGACTTGGTCTCTGGCTCACTCGCCATCGCTTCGTCGCTGCGACCGAGCAGTTTTTGAAGAAATGTCACGAGCATCTGCGCCGACGGACGCTGCGTCGGGTCGAACGACAAACAGGCGTCGACGAGGTGACGCAGCCAACGTGGGCAAGTCGCGCTCACCGTCGGACGGAGCGTACCGAGACGCACTTGGTCCATGATCCCCCAGTACCCGAGGTCCTTGACGTCCGCAAATGGCAGCTGGAGCGTGTCCAGCTCGGTCAAAATGACGCCAAACGCGTAGATATCAGCCGCAAAGCTGTAGTTGCTGCCCGACGTGAGCACTTCAGGCGCAGTCCAGTACGGTGTGCCCTTGCCCGTCGTCATGTTGGACTCATACTCGCGAGCGATCCCGAGGTCGGCGAGCTTGATGTAGTTGGTCGAGGAGAGGAGGACATTGTGGCTCTTGAGGTCCCGGTGAAGGAGACCGGTGTGGTGCAGATCGGCGAGGGCATTCGCAAGCACCCATGCCACCTCCAAGGCCGAGATAGTAACCTTGGTGGGTTGACCGAGTCGCTTGGCGTCGAGGTAGCTGCGCAGATCACCACCGTCCATGAACTCGAGAATGAGCTTGGGGCTCGATGAGCGGGCGCCCGAGACAGCGAGCAGTTGGAGCACGTACGGGGAGTTGCACCTACAGTCATCAATGATGAGGAAATAAGAAAATAGAAAAGACATACAGCTGCATAGTCTCCATCTCGTAGATGAGTGCTTGGATGCAAGACGCGTTGGCAGCGGTCTTGACCGCGACCGTCTGGCCTTGGTAGGTCCCCTTGTACACGGCGCCATAGCCACCAACACCCAATGGACTAGAAAAGTCCATCTCGATCTCGGTCGCCGACACCTACAACCACATATTTCAACAAAAACCAACGTGCAAGAGATGACGAACGTCCGGAATGACACTGTGTGTCGCTGTCTGCAGCATCGCCGCCAGCCGTCGGTGGCCCATTTGGATGGCCAACAGCATCGGCGTCATACCAGCCTACGAAACCAACAAGGTGTCCTCGTTGCCGTCGACGGCTCGCGCTATGTACCGCGTTGCGAGCGTCCACCTTGATGTGCCGAGCTCGCAACAGCGCATCGAGCACCTTGTGGCTGTTGTAGTGCACGGCGAGATGCAGAAGCGAGTCGCCATCCTACTCCAGTGCTCTGCATCAACTGTTGAGGCCACAGGTCGCGCGTACCTCGTTCACAGTATTGGGGTTGCCGTCGTCGGCTAAGAGAGCCATCACAGCGTAAGAGTCGTGGGTGCACACGGCGTCGACGAGCTTGGTAGCACACTATATCGCATGGATCCATTCCGTCCATATCTTGAAACACTGTATGTATCCTACGGGTTTCTTGTCCTGGGACTCGGCCTTTCGCGAAGTGGTGATGACGCGATTCTCTGTCGCACGCGGTGTCTTGTTTGTCTACCAATATAGTGTCAGTCCTGAAGGCACTCTCAGAACACAGATACCGCTGTTCTAGCAGCGAGATTGGTCCTGGTTCTGGTCGTCGCCACGTTCTTGACGGCGCTCACTTGACCGGGGGCAGGCGCTACTTGCAGTGGCGTTGGTTCCATCTAGAGCAACAGAGCACGTATGGTGCCAAGGGACCGCATACGATCGTAGCAACCTTCTTGGTCACCTCTGCGCCGCTGCTGAGCGGACGGACGGGGTTGAGGTCCGTCGTCTCGCCGGCTAGAGTGGCAGCGGCGACCGGCAGCGAGGCGCCCTAATGTTCATCTTCGATCATTTTGGTTGGATGTAATGAGCCTGTACCGTGATCACGGGGTCGGCGCTCGCGGCGGCTTGCGTCAGTACGTCGACAACCTCATGATGGCCTCTTGCCGCAGCAACGGCGCGCGGCGACTCTCCTGCCTAGAACCATCAATGTTGCAAGTGCCAACACATGTGTGCTGCGCCGTACGTGGTTGGCAGCGGAAATGCAGCTAACGTCCGCGATGTATTTGAGCATCATCGCGACAGTGGTCTTGTGCCCGTGGGCTGCCGCGACGTGCAACGCCGTGTTGCCATCCTAATCGCAGCGAGTAAGGACATCATTTGCTAGGACAATGCACGAAATGACCTGGTCGCACCGACGAGACAGCGACTTGTCGTTGTGGAACAATGTCAAGACCACCAACGTGTGGCCGTGCGCAGCGGCGAGGTGCAGCGCCGTCTCACCTTTCTATCGCAAACGCTCGTGTGGAGATTTTGGTGAGACCGAGTACTACCTCGTTTGTCGACGCAGGGCTCACACCGTGACGCAGGAGCGTCGTTACCATATCGTCGTCGTTGATTGATGCGTGATGCCGCAGATCGGCTTCCAAATGGCGTGTTTGCGCATCTTGGGTGCTCTATGAGACTGTCTTTACTCAAGCCGAGGCGTCCTAGTGATGGTACCTTGCTCAAGCGGTCGAAGGACGCGCCTGCCTGACGCAGCGCGAGCGTCATTTTTGTGTTGCCCGTGGCCACGGCGAGGGCGGTGCGACCCTTCTATACGTTTGTAACACAGCATGAACGACGCCGAGACAAGGGTGCATGCTGTACCGCATCAATGGCGTCGATCTCGAGTTTTGGTTTCTCAAGCATCGTTTCAAGAAGAGGGGGGTTCTGCGCCATCACAACAGTATGAAGCAAAGGCGTCCCGTCCTAGGACACGCGTTGCCACCTCCGTATCGCATTATGATGGGCACTACCGGATCCCGGTGGTCAACATGGACCATACCTTGCCGAAGGAGCGTGGCCGCGTCTTCAACACGCGTGGCACGCAGCGCTTGGACAAACTAGTGATAACCTTTGGGATCCTATCTCTGCGCAGCGAGGTCACCTACCAGTAGCGTGTCGTTGTGCGTGCGCAGTATGCGAGCGATGCGGACGTGGCCCTTCTTCTGCGCGTACGTGGCTGGTGTTTCGTTGAACTATGCAACCCACTGTGAAGAGAGGAGACAGGCGGCGGCTACCCTGTCGTTGACGTCGGCATTGGCGCCGTGCGCCAAGAGAATCGACACGACCTCTTCATGATTGTATTTCGAGGCAAGTAGCAAGGGTGTCGCGTCGTCCTATGCAAATCGTCAACGTGTACATCGCCAACGAGCACATACGCGGTCGCGAGAGTCGACGGCAGCGCCGTGGGCCAGCAAGAGGCGCAGAATCCGCACCCCGCCGCTCTCAGCAACGGAGTGCAAGGCGGTGGCACCGCTCTACACGCGGATGAGGTCGGTAGCAGCACGCGATGCTGCACCGAATTGAGTGCGTTGACAGCAGCGCCTTTCTCGAGCAAGACACGGACGACGCTCATATGGCCCGCGCTCACTGCAGCGTGCAGTGGTGTCGTCTCGCGCTAGTACATACATAGTACGTGTCACAATGGAGTAGACACTTGCATACATCGTTTGGCGTCGTGCACGTGGCGCCATTGTCGAGCAAGAAGGAGACAATGTCCAAATGCCCATGGAGAGCTGCATTGGTCAGTGGCGTCCAGCCGGTCTACATGCATTCGAACGTGAGCACTGAGGCGGCGGGAGAGACGTGCCTTGTCCGTGGCGTGGACGTTGACGCCGCTCTCGAGAGACGAGCGCACGTCGGCCAAGCGCCCTTCGTCGACGGCCTTGAATAGGGCTTTCTGCGCTGCTGGATTAGCCTTCGCCGTCGTACAATGTCGTCTACCTCGTTGCGCTGCTTCTTGGACCAAAACATGTTGGCGAATGAGCAATGTCGCCAAGCGCGCGTTTTCATTGGCTAATTGAGTTTCACACGCTGGATTGTGCTGGATTGACATCCCAACGACACTCAGACGAGCGGGCCTTCCTAGTCGAAAAATTGGCTGGAGCTTCTTAACGACGCAGTCGTTGCATCGCTATTCGAAGTACGGTATATGGGCTGACGACCCGAGCTTGGACGGGGACCTCGGCGTCTAACCCTTCCATCTGTTGATGGTCGGAGCGATATCCCTGCGGGCATTTGAGCCAATCCAACAACTTTATTCCACTTCCTGTCACTGCTACTGGACAAAATGCAACAAATCAACAATTTTTCATCCATGACGTCCATTGATTGGTTAAAAACAATAAAAGCGCTGCCAAGTGGACTCTTCAGTCAATGCAGTGTCATAATGCGTCGAAACGATTTGCCCGATAGCATCGCACAAGAGCCAGGCGACGTGGTCTCTCTTTTCACCGAAAAACAAGACGACGTTCTGCGCCAAAGACGATGATGTACACCCACTTCACGGAGCGTACACCATTTCTCTTGGCCTGGGACGAGAAGCTTAGAGAAGCTTAGGTGTAGGTTCTAGTAGCTCGTAGGAAAAATGCTGTCAAGGCGACGTATCGTGACAAGGGCGTCCTCGTGAACGGCGCCGTCATGCCTCCTAACCAAATGCGCAACGAAGCGCAAGAGATGCAAGGGTACACTGCAGAGGATCGTGTGGGTATGTGTATGTCGATGTATGTGCAGCCACTGGTGGCGATTCTCGACAATGGCTCGTTGTCTCCGCTCATGACACCACCCAATGGCGATCATTTGTCAGTCCGAGTATGGTTATCGAGTACAAGGACGGCGGGGGTCTCAAGAAGCACCTCGACAAGGCGCACTAGAGTCGAAGCGATTCGCTGCACGTCTCGACCGTCGATGTTGCCCTCGTACTCCTGCGCCCTCGCTGATTTGCACCACCTTGGCAAGGTGCATCAGGACGTCAAGAGCCTCAATGTCACTCTCTCGACGACACACTACATTCGGGTGGGTGATCTCGGCTCGGCGCGACCGATCGATGACTGCATGACGTCCAACGTCGGCACCAAGCTCTGGATCGCACCCGAAGTCGTTCGTGACACCCTTGGTGGCAATGAACTTGGGCACGGTCCACCCGCCAACAATTGCTCGTTTGGCGTCGTTCTCACCGAGTTTGACACGTGCGAGACGCCGTATGCAGAGGTCGACAACCTAAATTTCCGATCAAGTGCACGACGGCAACCTGCGTTCGAAAACGTAGTGCAGCTCTAAACGCCCTTTCGCCCCTGAGCACTCCCTCGTGTCGAAATAGGTGTTTGGCGACACAAGGAGCAGCAGAGCTGCGAAAATACTCTCATTTTTCGGCTCCCGTTATGCAACCCGCCACTCCTCCCCGAGGCTGGTACTACGGGCAGTCCGACATGTTGCTCGTCGAAGATTCCGAAGGTGGCAAGCGCATCGAGCAAGCCCACACCGTAAGCAGGATGGTAGTCGTCGCTGGACGTCCGCAAGGCCCACGAGGTCTGAAGTCGCCGTTGGTGCAGATGTCAACAACTCTCAGAGAAATCAATTGTGTGTTTTACTGGTGGCTGTGGTCTGTCCGTTGCAAAAATGGACGGTAGCCGTTGTTTGCTTAGAGCATCGGGTGCCAGCTGCGATTCAAACGCGGCATCGATGCCACCACCATGCGCTCGCTTGCCGATACGTTGTGCGTGCTGCAGTAGCTCTCGTACGAATGCACGCGCTGGGTGATGTCGTTGATGGAAGCATTGTCTACACGAAGCGCTTCTTCGTAGAAGAACCGACGCGGTGGCACCGTCCGTGTCCGCTTTGCTTTGTGGAGGTCGTGCGGACAGCAGCGCTGCAGTCGGGACGGCCGCTGGTCGTAGCAGCTCGTACAACACTTGACAACGCCATGGGGACAGGCGGTGCAGGCCACGACGCTGCCAACGATGGGCTTGAAGCACACCATGCAGCTCAAGGGCCACGTCTCGGGGGCGTCGTCGGTAGCCGACAGAACATAGTCGCGGACAATTGTCCAATCGTCAAGCGGCGTGTGGACCGCAAAACTGTAGAGTAGCCACGCGCTGGCTTTGCACGGGACATCGGAAAACGCGCGGCGGTAATACGCAAGCGCGGCGTCCCAATTGGACTGGATGCCGTACGCGACACCGAGGTCGAGGTGCACTACAGAAGATACAAATGTACATCAGCGTCATGGCGTACGACCTATGGGTATAGACGTACCCATCAAGAGCTGGTGCTGAGCGTGGTGCGCTTCAAACGCTGTCTTCACCGTCAGCAGCAGAGGGATTGCCGTTGCGGCATCGCCCGTCACAAGCAAGCACGCAATGAGGTTCAATCGACACGCGAGCGTGTACGGATGGTCCGCGCCGTGCGTGCGTTCGCGCGACGACGCTATGGAGGTCGCGAGCGCGAGGGCCGCCGCGCTCTCGCCAATTTGCACGAGCATCATGACAAGTGCAAACTTCGTTGTCGTCGTGTCCGCGTGGTCAGTACCCAAGTGCGCATCTTGGATGGTGTGTGCTTTTCGGAGCCAGCGCGCTGCGCGTCGGGGCTCGGCGAGGTCCGAGTAGATCTTGCCGACCTCTGTCATGGCCTTGGCCGTGCGCCAATCGAACAAACCGTATTGCGATCGCCGGACGTTGAAGTCGTCGAGGGCCAACGGCAATGCCTCTGCGTAGACAGCGTTGTAAACCAGAGATTGCACATACTGGCTGCGCGTCGCCTGCGTCGTCGGGTGCGTCTCGCCCAGATGCGCGATGGCCGCAGCGAGTGTCGACCGAAAACGCGGCTTCCACGAGGCTTGGTGCTGGAACGCCATCGCCGACGCAACAAGGGCCTCCAGCAGCAGCGTGTCCGCATCGACCATGCCAGCGGCTTGCAAAGTCAAGGTTCGCAACGCCGTTTGGTAACACTGCTCGCTTTGAGCGTACTCGTTGAAGCAGTCGTGGACGGTACCGAGCTGCTTCCAGCGCTTGGCCGTCTCGAGAGACGACGAAGAGGCTGCGATCGATGCCTCGAGCGTCATCTTGATCCAGCTGGTCAACGTTGTAAAAATGAGCTGGTCGACGGCGATGAACGACGTCTCGGTGCGAATGAGCTCGAAAATACCGTCGCGATCCGAAGCCACGGTCGCCTCCGAGTCCTCGCTCTTGATCGTCGCCAGCATCTTGTTGAACGCGTCAAAGTCTGCAATGTCATCGAGAAACGTGGCTTCTTGATCATGCGCCAGTGCAATCTCAAAGCGCGCGCCCAGTGTCACTGCGACGTAGACCTCAAACACGCACCAGCTTCGACGAAGCACGATCGGGTCGTTCCACGGGTGCATGATCATGACCACGTTGCCGATGGCTGCGAGACCGTTCTTGAACGTTGACGACCAGTACTCGAACGGGTACGAGCTCGCGAGGTGCTGGTTGTTGTTGAAGACGCAAAACCAAATGACCGCGTCGTCACTGAGATCTCGGTCGGCGAAGAAGCGCTCGAGGCTGTCGACGGTCTCCAAGAAGAGGTACATCCAGGCATGCGAGACATACCAGTTGGCCGGGCCAACGAACGAAGCGGTCATTGGGTCGTTGGCGACGTGGTCGACGAGCGAGAGCTCGGATGGTTTGGTCATTGGCACGACGTACTCGAAGCAGACGTGGGCTGTCGTCTTGCCGAGAAAGCTGGCCTCGCCGCCATGCTCGTTGATAAAGTGGCGCAAGTACGAGAGGCGGACGCCGCGGGCGGTTGTCAAAGCAGCCATGCCGTCAATTTTGCAAATACATGT